CATTATGATCGAAAGCCGGCTGGGGTCCGCGCGGACCCCAAAAGAAAATCAGATATAATTTTTTATAAATGGTAGAAACGGAGTTTTCTGCACTGTATTGAGAGACAACTTTGTGGGTGACAATTACCTAAAATTTCAGAAAAAAATCTTTAGAAACAAAAAAGATATTACAGAATATATAGTGCTGGGGTCCGCGCGGACCCCAGGTGTACTGTTTAGGGTTAAATGTTTCGACATGTTGATTTTTCCCAACAATTCTGCCCCTGAGGCGTCACCAAAAATTTGCCAACAATGGAAAAACCTTCTTACATATGTAGGCAGTGTCGGCAGGGAACTTGGACCGTAGCCAGGTTTTGTTGTACGTAAAGTGGTTCATCAGGGCATGGTACTGTTCATCAGGGGTGTGGATGTATTCTTGTTCTGTAGGAGAGACGCCCCAAGAGAGGACCAGACCCTCGGTCGGAAGCATCATCGGTAGCTTGCGGCTGATGGCGTATCTTTGAAAGATCGTGCAGGTAGTTGAGGACCCGACTTTGTGCGGTGCGATGAAGACGTATTTCTGCCGTGGCCGGCTGCAGGCTTGCAAGGCCTCTTCTGTTTCCTCTCTGTGTTCTTGTTTGGTCAGTGCTGCAATACTAAAGAAGGTCGCTAGTCATTACGGAAAGACGGCTACATTTATGTGTTCTGTGCATATGTTAATACACCAGACTTGGATTTCTTTTGAAAATCTATCCAGTTGCTCGAGTAACTGTTTTCTTTACCTCATTACCTGGATGCCTAACCTTTATCGTCGGAACAATGACAATAATAACAAAGATGTCGCAGTTAGTAGAAATTCTTCGATCAGTGACTGTATTTTTGTAAGGTAGATTACGTACCTCCAAATTTTCGGTGTCGACTGTACACCTTGATCACGGAGTGACCTAGTCTCGCGAGAACAAGAGACTAGGTTGGGAGCTGCCCAAGTCCTACCTACCACTACTCCGCAAGGAGGCGGGGGAGGTCAGAAGATCCACACAAGTCTCGACCTAGTCTCGTGTTCTCGCTCCGTGATCAAGATGTACTGTCGACACCGAAAATTTGGAGGTACGTAATCTTATTCTACCATACAAAAATACAGTCACTGATTGAAGAATTTCTACTAACTGTTAATTCTACGTGACTGATGAACCTCTTCAACGATACCAAAGATGTCGCATATTAAATAATCGGAAAATTTTAAATAATCGGAAAATTATTTAGATCGGTCTCTGAGTTACCTGTTCCTCAGTTTATGAAGTTGCGGCAGATATGTACGCATTGGTGATAGTCTATCCTCCAGAATGATCGTCACTATGAAGCCGAGAATCGTGAGGAGTAACGCAATGGAAAGCGCGATGCCCCAGGATGTTGTCGCTTTTTTAATCATTGAGGAGAGCATATTGACGATCCTAGATGAATATGAAAAACTTAAACTTTTCTCCAACTCAAAATTTGACTCACCAGAAATTTTCGACTGAATCACTCAGTCTTCCTCAGCTATCTGACCCAAATGCTGTGGACACGTGATTTTTCCCACGTGTGACGTCAGCAAAGGGTCAAAGGTTGTCTGAAGTCGATATCGCCCCCGTGTGGATCTGGAGGGGGTCAGAATCTTGGATACCGAACAGGATTACTTCAAGAGAGGCATAAAAGAGGCCATATACATCAGGGCACTTCAACCATCGCTCAACCGGGACGGGAATCGACTTCAGACAACCTTTGACCCTTTGCTGACGTCACACGTGGGAAAAATCACGGGTCCAGAGTCAAATTTTGAGTTGGAGAAAAGTTTAAGTTTTTCATAATGTAATTTACCAACTCAGATGAACTTTCATGCTGATCCTAGATGAANCATAAAAGAAGGCCATATACATCAGGGCACTTCAACCATCGCTCAACCGGGACGGGGGGCGATATCGACTTCAGACAACCTTTGACCCTTTGCTGACGTCACACGTGGGAAAAATCACGGGTCCAGAGTCAAATTTTGAGTTGGAGAATGTAATTTACCAACTCAGATGAACTTTCATACTGATCCTAGATGAAGATAACAAGGACAAGATTTGCAACATTTGTTAAACTTTCTTTCCAACACAAGGGTAGTTCAAAGACAAACCAAACTCTGTGTGGCGTAGCGTCAGAGTGCTCAACTTGGAACCAAAAGGTCCCGGGTTCGAGTCCTGAAATGCCACTGATCTTGTGCCCTTGAGAAAGGCACTTTAGATAACTTTCCTCACTTCCTTACTGTATTGTCCCCTGTGTTGGTGGCGGCATTAACATAAGTTGAAAAAAACTTGAGTGTGAAAAACTCGAGAAAAACCACGTCTTATGATTATATGTTGGAATTTAAAAAAAAAATCAAACTCTACTACTGGTTAATATGCGGATATTGTTTCTGAACGTTTTGAGTGACATCCGTCAGTCTTCTTCAGCGTCACTAGAAATTCATCCAGTAGTAGAGTCTATTGAAGAAGACTAGACTGAGAACAAGGTCTTATGCTGAGATATTAAACACGTCACTACCAACACAGATGAACTTTCATGACAGTATAAATACAAGCACAGTAACCCGAAACATGAATTCCTGGTCTTAAAATATTCCCCACTTGAATCTTTAAGATTGCATGATACACTTCTCTGTTGGATTAAGGGAGCCCAGGCTTGTATTTATGTTCGAGTTCGGGCTTGCATGTGATGATGTGTCTGCATGATAGCCCCAGACTTTTTTTCGAACCTGAATCATGTTCTACCATGTTTTTTCTGACGTCATTCCAACTGAACGCGTGTTTGAATTCGGGTCACCGGCGGTCATTTGTTAGCCTGGGTTCCATCCTGGTTAGTTTCGTCCGCTCCCACAGTCGCTACCACCAACTGTGGGAGCGGACGTAAACTAACCAGGATGGAACCCAGGGTAGTCATTTGTATATTTCCCCTGTAAACCCGCATTGTCACGCATTTTAGTCACGGATGATGACTTAATTAGACCTCACGCGCAGATGGGCCGTCCTTGTATACCCAACCATTAAGGCCGTGTTCATGTGAAGTCAGTGAAGGCGCTTTACATGTGGTTTACCCCGAAGCCGGTTTCAAGTGGCTCCATCTGAACGCTCCAAATCACATTGAAAGCGCCTCGATCCCAAACCACTTCCAGAGGTGGTTTCGAATCGGTTTTTTCGCATCGCGATTTGCGTCTGAACGCAAAGTGATTTCAATGTGACATCGCCTGGTAATGGATTACGGGGTGATATTTCTTTATTTATATGCAATACCAACTTTTACGTGGCAGCAACTTAAAGAGTAGTAATGGTCAAATAATGTGTCCGTTCTAGGGCGAGCTTCACCGCCTCTGGCGGGACCACGTCGGCATTCGGCCGAGATACGCTGGGAGGGGGGCATCAGCAAGCAGGTCGTTGACCTCTGACATTAATAACACGCTACCTTGCGTCTTTTCATCAAACAACAATAAATGTAGCTCAGGCGAATTGTGATCGGGCACGGTTTCAAAGGAATGTGTGGCACGAGGACCAGATGTGAGGAATGCGAGTTACCCGAATCGCGGTTTGGGTGACTTCACATGAACAAGGCTTTAGAAGTATCAAATTTCCAGGCTAGGGCTTCAGAAAAAAATAATGACTTTTCTCGGAAATGTGCAGAACAGTGATGGCCAAAAAAATTCAAGAGTGGATTTTGTCATATCCTTTTGTGCCAATTTTTATAACATTTTTTAATGTTGAGTTCTAGCCCTACAAATAGTGTTTCGGACACACGTAAATATATAGCTTTGAGGGTTGTTTCAGCGATGATAATGGACTATTTTATTATATCAAATTAGTAGTTTTACAATGAATTTGTTTAGGTACCTCTTGTAAATAGTAGAGCCAAAGGTCATGGGAATGTACGATACATTCCCATGACGTCACAGCAAAGCAAAATGGCCACCATGGCAAAAACAACAATGTGCGTTTTGTGCCGAGAATTGGGTCGGATCCGGAGTAGCTATAGCTCCGTGGCAGATAGCAACCTTCTCTGGGCGGCTGGTTATAGGACGGCTGGCAGAAGAACGCATTAAAAATTCTACAAAACGCAGTATCAAAACTCACATGAGGCCCTCACATGAGGCTAGGTCGGAGTCTTTTTCAGATCTATTCTACCTTCCATCTCGGCTTTCAAAAGGGCCGGAGAATGCATGCTATTCTAACTAATTCCTACACCCAACTGGGAGGTGATGAACGTAAAATTTACCGCTGAATCAACATGTAACGTTGCGAAAGGAATTGTAGATCATGAAAAATACCTAAACGTCGTCCAATTTCCATATAGTGGGATTTGAACGGCACTATTATGAATGGCACCTCAAAAGAGGACGACCTGAACTGAACTGAACTGGGATTTGAACCATCGAACACATTATAACATATTTATCAAAGTTCACAAAATATTTGAAACAGGCATAAGAATGGGTTCGTTGAAAAAATATCACCCATGACTTTAAACCGATGTAAGCGGAGGTAACTGAGGTAAGAGTCTAAATAACCTTTACCTTTGGCGTTGAACCAGGAAAAAAATATTCATTTACTATATCAGAATACGCCAGAACGTGCCGGTTGATAGTCTATCAACAGACGCTCTATTGTGTCAACTTGAACTGGATGCATCCGGCGCTAAATGCTGGGCTTCGGGAGTCCGCAAGACGCTAGAGGAGTGTGGTTTTGCCTACGTATGGAATTCGCCGATGTCGTATGTCTTAAATTCTTCACAAATTATTCCATCCCTTGATCAACGTTTAAAAGACATGTATTTCCAAACTTTTACAGCAGAAATTCGTAACAACAACAAATTACGAACATATAGATTACTAAAAAATACTTACCACGAGGAAAAATATCTGAGAATTACAAACATTCGACACAGAACAGCCATCACAAAACTCCGGATAAGTTCAAACAAAATCCACATAGAAAAGGGAAGACACAACCACATTCCTCTACAGCAAAGGATCTGCCAATTTTGTAACCTAGATTATATTGAAGATGAATGCCATTTTGTAGCTGACTGCACATTATATAGAAATGAGAGGGATTCCCTCTATACTTATGTAATAGATAAGTTCCCAAGCTTTAGACATTTAGATAGAATAGAAAAATTCGAATTCCTCATGAAACTTGACAAACCATGTATAATTAGCTCAATATGTTCGTACATCTTTAACTGCGTAAAGAAGCGAGAAGAAGCTGAACCTGTAAATAGTAGAACACATTAGCTTATATAGTATGTAAGTGTCATTACTGTTTTCTTTTCCCTGTCTACCCATGACCTGTACTTAGCTCGTTAGAGCACAAGCGTACAATAAAGGTCTTTCATTCATTCATTCATTTACCTCAGATAAAGCCCAATAATGTTGAAGTTACACTGCGTTGTCCTATTTACTTCACCACTGTATGAAGTCAAGTCTATTTTGTTGTCTGAAATATGTGAAATGTTCCGAATCTGCCTTTTCTACACAGCTTAATGGCCGTATAATAGCGCACACGTACACCACAAAAACCTGTCTGCCTATTGCCATACATAATTTATAACCTTAAGTTACATTATGCCTGACTATATTGTTCTCGTGCATCTAGTGGCCAGAAACTATAACTGTCACAATTTCTGTAAACCATTAGTCTAATAATAGGGCGTACCCATCAGACAAATAACTGCTATTATTTTTGGCGAAGCCTCAGAGGCAAGCCTAATGGTATAGTACTGTGTGTCGTCTGCAAGGATTCTAGGAATTCGACAGGAATTTTGTCCACAGAAATGCAATGTTTTTTTTTAACTCAAGAAGGAAACTTGGTAGGTTAGTGGGTCTTCATGAGACCTCAAAATAAGTAGATTTTAGGCCCCTTAGCAGCTTGTTATGGTACTGCAGCGGGACTTCCGGTTTCGACATCTCGTGATCTGGGCATGCTTAGGTCAACCTTTGGATAATTGATAGCTTTTGAGCTCGGAAAAAAGTGACATAAAGTTTGGGCAGCTTGTTCTGAAACTACAGGGCGTTTGGTGGAAAAATCTTCGAGGAATGATAACTCAAGAACTAGTTGATGGGTCCTTGTAATTTTTGGTATGTTGGTAGATTAAGTGTTTCTGGACGTAATTAACTATGGAAATTACGATCCAATCAACATAATTAATGAGGAAAAACTCTATAGATATGTCGCCCCTCCCCCTGTCTCTGTTTAGGGTAGGTCTGTGAGCTAATGTAAACCACCTCCTTCACTCTTCTCGCACTCAACCTAATATATGCCTAGTGATGTCTGATTTTAACTTACACATGTCACATGGTATGAAATTTTCATCATTCACCAATGAGGAATCACAGAATTTTCACATTTATTATGCAAATTAGGTCATAATTTGCATAATTGGTATTTGCTGCTGTTCCACCTGCCATAGATTACATACATGTACATTACATGTATAAAAGAACTATTATATAGAACATTGTAATTATAGAATTTACTCCTGGATTATGCAAATTACGTCTTCATTTGCGTAATTTGCATTTAATTATGTTCATCAATCTCTAAGCTGCCAAAAATCATGATGTTGTTTTTATTCGCGCTCTCGCATTAGATTTAGGGTCTCCAGCGGACGCCATCCATAAAAATTACTTGGTGTGGCCTTCTATAAAAAATAACCCTTGTTGTATTCTTGTATTCTGGTAAAAAGCTACCTTCAGTCTAATGAATGGGGTTTAGCCGTCAGACCAATGACAAAGACACAATGTCCTTGGTGAGACAAATTACTGCTGTCATTATTTGTTCTCCCCGAGGCATGTCCCGGCTGAGGTCTCGACCCGGGGAGGACATGTCGACAACATCGCCAGACATTTCGCCCCGAGGAGGGCGAGATCGCTGTCACACAGGCATAGAACAAATGTCATCTAAAGTTCACATGGTCGCTGTGTGCGGTGAATGTTGGCCTTTAGTCCTCGATTACGGATTCAAATAGTCTTTGTTTCGGCCACACGTAAAAATCTACCTTTGATGGTTATTTCTGCGACCTTCAACCTTTCCAGGTCCATCTTCAACCTTCGACCTTTTATTATTTGAAATGCGAAGTCTTGCAATGGATTTGGTTAGACACGTCTAGTAAACGGAACAGCCAAAACAAGAGATTCTTGTGACGTCACAGCCAAGCAAAATGGCCGCCCTGTGCGATACAAACAAAGCTGTGGGCTTTATAGCGAGAATTTGGTCAGGGCGATCTTTTTCAGATCTATATTCTACCTTCCATCTAGGCTCCCAAAAGGGGCCAAAGTATACCATTCTAACTAATTCTTGCACCCAACTAAGAGGTGATAAACGCAAGTTTTACCGCTCAATTTATGGGTCAAAACTACCCACCCTCAAAACTATATCGATTATGACATATTGATTAAATTCACATTAAATTTGTAACAGCCATGAGAATAGCTTCGTTAAAGCTATTACCCAGAGCTTTAAACATTTTTCATCGAAAATAGTCTAGACAATATAAGTTGATCTTTTAATCTTATAATGCCGGCGTGTGCATATGTACCTAGTACCTCGACCACGCGGAAACGGTACTCGAAAATACTCGTAACCAGATTTTAACTACCCGACATAGCCCAACACTACCCGACATAGCCCAACACTACCCGACATAGCCCAACACTACCCGACATAGCCCAACACTACCCGACATAGCCCAACACTGCCCGACATAGCCCAACACTACCCGACATCGCCCAACACTGCCCGACATAGCCCAACACTACCCGACATAGCCCAACACTACCCGACATAGCCCAACACTACTCGACAGAGCCCAACACTACCCGACAGAGCCCAACACTAACCGACATAGCCCTAAACACTAACCGACATAGCCCAACACTACCCGACATAGCCCAACACTACCCGACATAGCCCAACACTACCCGACATAGCCCAACACTACCCGACATAGTCCAACACTACCCGACATAGCCCTAAACACTAACCGACCACCCCTTACAGACAGCGTTTACAGTAGTTAATAGAAAACTATGGTCGGCGTAGCCCAACACTACCCAACGTAACCCTACCCTGACTAATGCTCACAAACGCAAGCTTTAGTTAGTTCGACAAACATGTTCGTATTATGCGACACTCTCTGTATATTTCTAATCTAAAATCCAGTAGTGGTAGAATTGAAGTTACTATGTGTTTCAAGTGCTACAGTAATTAGAAATGTGTAAAGTTTTGTTGTGTAACCCTTAACCTTAGGGTGGCCTTCAGACCTTGTTACGTGGTAACCTAGCCTGTCCAATGAGTAAAAAAATGAAAATTAACAAAAATATCTTTACCTGAGATGAATCCCAAAGCCACACTGTGTTGTTCACTTCAGCACTTACAGGAGTCAAGTCTACCACTATTTTGTGGATAGAAATTTGGCAAATTTTCCCACACTGTCTTTTCCCACACTGCCTTTTCCGACACTGCCCTGCTTTGTTCAAAACTGGTTTAACAAGTTTTGAACTGTTTTAACATGCTGTCACACGTCGTACTTGGCCTACTATCACCCCAAGGCATAACCCGGCTGAGTTGACTGGGACAGAACCAAATAGTCTTAAATGATCTCATACCTTCCTCCGATTATGTCTGCTTTTTCTTCGTATAATGTAAATGGTTTTGGTGTACGGTAAACAAACCATTGAGTCATATTCTATGCAACTGGAGCGAAGTGCCCATGGAAACTCATCACCTTAGAAAGACACTAAGGCCTTGTTCACATGAAACCGACCGAACCGCGATTCGAGTAACTCACATTCCTCACATCTGGTCCACGTGCCACACATTCCTTTCAAACCGTGTCCGATCACGATTCTTCCAATCTACTGTATTTGTTGTTTGATGAAAACACGCAAGGTAGCGTGTTGTTAATGTCAGAGATCAACGACCTGCTTGTTGGTGCCCCCCTCCCAGCGTACCTCGGCCGAATGCCGACGTGGTCCCGCCAGAGGCGGTGAAGCAGCTCCTACAGCGGACACATTATTCGACCATTACTGCTCTTTAAGTTGCTACCATGTAAATTTTGGTAGTGCATACAAATGTGTATTTCTAGACCTTCGGAAAGCCTTTGATAAGGTTTGGCACGCAGGACTTCTGTCCAAACTAAAATCATATGGAATCAGTGGACTTATGCATGACTGGTTCTCCAGTTACCTCTCGGACAGAAAACAACGAGTGGTCATCCAGGGTGCAACGTCTACGTGTGGGAAGTCCCCACTAGCCGGAGTACCGCAAGGTTCCGTCCTTGGACCAACGCTTTTCATTCTTTACATCAATGACCTTGCCACCAGCCGTACACATTGTCTGGCCAACTTATTTGCCGACGACACATCTCTGTCATTCTCCCATCATTCTGTTCAACGCGTAGTTGCAACACTGAACCGAGAGTTGAGTACTGTGTCGACCTGGCTTTCTACATGGAAACTAGAAGCTAACATAGACAAGTGCAAAGTCATGTTCATTACAACTCGTACTCTACCACAACCGATTCCCCCTGTGACCCTAGGAGGAACTGTACTGCAAGTTGTCACCAGCCACAAACACTTAGGCGTCACTCTCACGAATACCCTGTCCTGGTCACAGCACATCGAGGTCATCTCTAACAAAGCAAGACGTTCTTCAGGACTGTTATGTGCCCTAAGAAGGAAAATTCCCCAAAACTTACTGCTCCGGCTGTACATCACCATTACAAGACCTACGTTAGAGTACGCGGATATTGTCTGGGCTGGCCTCACTTTACGTGACCAAAGGACTTTAGAATCTGTTCAGTACCAAACAGCCAGGCTTATCAGTGGTCACTTTGGGATCCCATACCCTTCCTACAATAGTCTCTACACAGAACTGTCTTTACCATCTCTCCAGTTTCGACGCAAGTTTCACACTGCAGTAACCATGTACAAACTGTTGAACGGTCGCTGTCCTCTACACCTGCAAAGTCTGCTACCTCGAGCGCGAGCGTCCGCCACAGAATCCCGGTATCCCTTACGGAATAGTGAACACTTATCCATACCCGTTTGTAGAACCACCAGATCCCAGAGAACATTTGTAATCAGAGCTATAACTATCTGGAATACTCTCCCTAGCGAAACTCGAACAACCCGCTCCATCAGCTCCTTTAAAAAGAAACTATGGACAATACTTGATAAATACTTGATGACAACTACTTAGTAAATAGTTCAATCAATAGATCAAACCTCATAGAAAGAGTTCAGTATCATTGCTCCCTCGTTGTGTCTGGTGCCATAAAAGGGTCTTCATATTCTTTAATTTGTCAAGAGCTCGGCTGGGAGACTCTGTCCGATAGGCGACACATTCATCGCCTATTACTATTTCATAACATTGTAAACGGATGTACTCGAGAATATCTTACAGATTTACTTCCATGTACAATTACTGCTACTTCTATCTACAATCTGAGAAACAGTAGTAATCTGAGAACCATCAAATTTTCTACCAATCGTTTTGGAAAGTCTTTTATACCATATTCCATCACTGGATGGAACAACCTGAATTTGGAAATCCGTACTCTTTCGCATCCAAAATTTCGTTCAAATCTTTTCAAATCGGTACGTCCTGTAAAGTTAAACTATTTTAGCTTTGGTTCTCGTTATTCCTGTATTCTCATTACCCGACTTCGTCTGGGCACCTGCAGCTTGAATCACAATCTTTATACCCGAGGTCTTGTTACAAGTCCATCCTGTAGCTGCGGGTGTCCATATGAAACGATTGCTCATTATTTATTGCACTGCCCTATATACACCTACCAGCGCTTAGTCCTTTTTGGCAAGCTTTCAAGCATACTTGGTAATATTGTTGATTTAAACACCCTTTCTGATAATTCCATACAATATTTAGTTCTTCGCGGTAGTTTCCTTTGTTCCTATGACATCAACTGCAAAATAATGTTAGCCGCACAAGATTATATATTAGAAACAAAAAGATTCTAACTGTATGTGTCTTCTGGGATGGGAGGATTGTTACTCACGCGAGATCTCATGTATTTTTAATTGTCTTGTAAAATATTTTTCTTTCATTGTAAAAGTGGCTGCGAGAATAAAAGTTGTACCTAACTTGAGTTCGCAGCCACTTAGTCCATGTCTTTTCATTTGTAATTCTCATTGAGTTTCTGAATAAAAAAAAAAATAGTTCAATAGAATAATATTGTATTGACAATGTAAATATAGTGCACAACATCTGTTATGTAATAGTATATTAACCTGACATATAAATGTAATTGTAGTAAACGCACGACGACCAGGCCGGATATTCTAGCTTGTTAACGCTTGGCCACAACATCTGTTATGTAGTAGTACCGGTAGTATGTCTATCTGAATTGTAACTGACACTGTTAACTGTTAACTGTTCCGAATTGTTTATGTTCTTGTTGTGAGGGCTAGCCCTTTATAATAGCCTCCGGCTAGTTGGGCAGTCCTGGCTGCATACATATGTGTTATCAGCCTAATAAATCAAATCAAATCAAATCAAATCAAATCAAATCAAATAAAGAAATATCGCCCCGTAATCCATGACCAGGAGAAGTCGCCTTGGAATCACATTGCGTTCGCGATGCGGGAAAGCCGGTTCGAAACCACTTCCCGAAGTGGTTTGGGATCGAGGGGCTTTCAATGCGATTTGGAGCGTTCAGATGGAGCCACTTGAAACCGGCTTCGGCGGAAACCACATAAAGGACTTTTCACTGACTCCGTCTGAACAGGACCTAAGGCCCCGTTCACACCAAGTCCCTCTAAGCGGTTTCGATCCAGTTTCCACCGAAGCTAGATTCAAGTGGCCCCATCTAAATGCGCTTCGATCCCAAACCACTTCGGGAGGTAGTTTCTAACCGGTTTCCCCGGATCACGATTTTCGTCTAGACACGATGTGATTCCAATGTGACTTTACCCGTTTACTTTACAAATTGACCCGGTCATGGATTAAGGGGTAATATTTCTTTATTTATATGCAATACCAAAATTTTACCCGAATCGCGATTCAGGCGGCTAGGTGTGAACAAGGCCTCAGTAGCAGCCACTGAAATGGTGCTAGAGTATTGTAGAAATCTGATATGGTTCCATTATCAACTATGATATGATTATAGGAATTAATTATATAAATTATATAAAGCCGTGCCATAGAAAATTCCATATTTGGTATTGGAATGCGTTCGGCCTAGACAATAACATTATTGGACCGCGTGCTCAGTGAGAGAGAGAGAGAGAGAGGAGGAGAGAGAGAGGAGGAGAGAGAGAGAAGA